GATAACAAGGGAAGATAACAAGGGAACCAGTAGTTGTAACTACTGGTTCCCCTTGTTATCTTATCACATGTATAGAGTTTCATTCACCTGGTGGACCCGTGAAGATCCGGGTTAGAATTGATCTTCAGCAACCCATGCCTGTCGTTAGAAGCCTAGCCGGATCGGGTGGTCATACTCGCTGACCTGGTTGACACATGTCATCGTATCCCAATTGCGTAGATCGATGCTCTTGCTGTTGATCACTGGGTTGTCTGGTCCAGACTTGATTATTTACAGACTGCCGCCATAACCATGGTTTGAAGCAGACCAATTCTAACCCAGCTTGATCTGGGAGGAAAGTGATGCAGGTCTCTGACGCTTTACCCTAAAAACCCACGAGCACTGATATGGTACTGGGCTCCGTTCCTCAAAGCGATCCTAGCGCTACGACAGTCGTAAGTCTGTGTTAAAGTATGGGAGTTACGATCACCTTAGCGCTACCATCGCTTTCACGAACAGGGCCCTGGAACGCATAGTACTTAACGTGATCTGGACGAACCGGTTCCTGGCGTGCTCAAAGGAGGCAACTCTGTATAGCGAATTACACAACTGCAGCTCCTGGCGTCCAAAGGGAGGCAACTCTTGTACAATGTTTTCCATAAAATATACATATACACGGCATAGATGTCGCTGATATAGTGTTAACAAACGTTATGTATCTGCCAAACATCTGGGCAATGTGGAGCGGTAGGGAAGCCTGTAGTTAAGGAGTTCGTTGGTCATGTCGAGGACCCGGGTTCGATTCCCAACATGGGCACAATGTGTGAAGACCATTTCTGGTGTCCCCCGCCGTGATATTGCTGGAATATTGCTGAAAGCGACGTAAAACTAAACTCACTCACTCACTCTAGGCCATGTAATGTTACGACCGGGTGTAGAGGGCTGATGCTGTGTCTGATAACTATGATGGAATTTATATCACGTGACAGGACAATGAATGAGTCGGTCATTATAGTAAATTGTCGCCAATATGACTAATTGTCAGTTCGCATTGTCACCCGCGGTTATTCTCATCAGTCGGCATAAAATCACTCAGTTGATTAAGAACGGAACATAATAACTTTTTGATTGCTGCCCGCGGGGCATGCGTTTGCACCATGTGGAGAGAGAGAGAGAGAGAGAGAGAGAGAGAGAAAGTACACTAGAGAGAGTGTATGAGAGGAGAGTGAGAGAGAGAGAGAGAGAGTGTGATGAGAGAGAGAGAGAGTATGAATGACCCTCCCTAATAGAGTAGAGAGAGAGAGAGAGAGAGAGAGAGAGAGAGAGAGAGAGAGCATAAGACAGTATAGCCGTATAGAGGAAGAGTGACAGTTTAGAGGAAGAGGAAGAGTGAGAGAGGGAGAGGCAGGAGAGAGGGGGAGAGGGAGAGAGAGGGGAGAAATGAATGAAATGAAAGAGAGCGGAATAGAGTATCCATTAAACGGGAATACAAAATCCAGTGAAAAGGTTCCATGGATATCTTTTGTAACTGAAAAATGATTATTATGCGATTGTATAAATATTCCTATAATAATATCTGTATATCGACCGCACTAAAACCTTATTAGTTCAGATCGTCGTTGTATGCAAGGTCAGGGTAAACGTAAATGAGAATGACACTTACACATTAAGGCTTGACACGGGGCACATGTAGTTTGATTTGGAAAGCATACAAAGAGCTCGCCCTTCTTCTATCATAACTTTAAAAGACGCACTATCTACTTTCCTCTCTCATACGGAACTGTTACATTTTGACATGCACAAGGAAGGGAATGTGACTGTCTTTTATAATCAATGCCTTGCATGTGCGTTCTTCTCAGCTTGGTTTAAGATGTAGGGTCCAACCAATTGCTCCGGGAGAATGGTCATGACACAACAACGGGAAATCATCGTTTTCCCATTAACTCAGGGTATCATGCAGGTATTATGATCAGATTACTTAGAACAAAACTTTGTTTAGAAAGCTTTGAATAATTAGCATTTCCCTCGCTCATACATAACAGATATATTGAATATCGTGACGTCTCGTCCGAAACGAAGTTTTGATTTTCAAGGGGGTCCAGGGTGTTGAATAGGATGGAAATATGGAAATCCCTGGATCAGCGAAGATGGTATTCGTTGTGAATCTTCTTTCTACGTCCTGTTTCGCGATATGTAACAAATTCGTACTGCGTCCACTGAATTACAATGAAATTGTGGTTTAGCAAGATAATGTATTTAGCATCATGTATGAATGAAGCAGTTTTATCTTCCATGGTCGTGGGCATTATATTTCAGACACAAACGGAGATGTATAAGGGCAATAAACCAATTCTGTCGAGCCATGCAAATTGTAAAACTTGTGCACATCAATCACACATTAGACAGCAATATTGCAATGCATTGTACATGATATACACCTATCGCTGACTCCAAATCTCGTTTGCATGTAAAATTGTTGAGATGAACTCAAACTAGACCTTTTCAGTGAGGTTCATCTTTATTCATAGTTATGATAACATTTTTGGCTGATTTCAGCCGACCATTCTGAGACATCAAAGGGCATATCGTGTCAGATGGAGAACGGAGCTCCTTGACATAGTGGACGAATACGTGTTCAAAGAGTTATAGTTAAGACGATTCGGGGAACAAAATTTTATGTGTTATTTTTCTAAATCTATCATTCAATGTTTAGCATGAAAGAAGAACCTCGAGATATGCATCTCCTCCAGACTAGAGATCATTGATGGGTAAAATAAGATGTGGGTGTAAGTATAATTATTTGAATACACGCAAGCTCTGAAGCATTGATTCAGGGAAAGCTACATGCAGAGCAATACGAGGAGTGAGTGAACTGATTTAGTCTGTCTGTATTCTGGTACAAAATAGGTTCCTAGAAATATACGCATTCCGTAGGAGTCGCCTAATACACAGGACGATGTGGTTCGGGTTCTGGTTGATTTGTAATCGTGCCCCAACGGCTGTCAACCCGTGGAGTCTGGTTAAAACTATATACATGTAATCTACAAGCTGCCTGGACATACCTGGAATATTTCTGAGTGTGGTTTAATGATCCAAGTATGGTAAAACACTATGGCCACATTCAACCAAGGTCCCTCCGGATTTATAATTTGTAAAATGACACTAATTGTTTACAGGGACAAATTGAATCGTATCAGGATTTACGTGATCAACACATAAGTCACCGTGCTACCTATGGCCCTATCATTTGATAAACTATTATAAGATCCTCTGCATCCCTTGCTAAGTATTTGTAGCAAGAACCATTTGTTTCGTTTCCGTCATATAACCGATCAGCTTCGAAAATGTGATAACACAGCCTGGATTTTACGGAAACAAACAACTTCGCAAAAGCAATGTTGAAGGTCCACCAAATGTATTTCACATTGTCAATGCTTTCATCCACATTTTATGTATACTATTCCAAAAAGAAACGCATAACCCAGAAATCTGTTGCGAAAATGTTGTATTTTCAAACATGTACAACTCGTCCACAAATAGCGTTTAGTACATGAGTTTTTACATCAGTTTAGAATAAGGTAATGACTATACAACCAAGTGGATAATTTTAGTTAACGGAGATGTTGAGCGCGATGGCGACGACGTAGCACGGTCCCGACGTTGGGTCTCCTGGCTCTCAGTCCAATCTCTCTCAACCTGTTCCGTACCGTTTGACCGGATATCGTCCGAAGTCGAGACACCCTGGCTGCTGTGCTCTCATCCGTTACAGTACGATCACACAAATGTAGTACCCGGATGTACCGATCTTGGGCTACAGTGGTGACTCGAGGTCTGCCTGTACGGGGACGGTCATTTGTTATACTTGTTTGGTTGTAACGAGCTGCAAAGCCGTGATATCGTGCTCAGACTAACATTCAGACGCCTGGCAACAGAAGATTGATAATGTCCAGCGTGCGTTCTTTCAATGGCGATGTTCCGTGTCGCAGCGTCAAGACGTGGCGAAGTGATTTGACCTTGAAACTTCTTCAAAACGAATGTTGATTTCCGAAAGTAATCTGGATTTTTATAGCCAGACAGTGCATGCTCTTTGCTGCGCAATTTCATCTGGAAGGTGATTTCTGTTACGTTGTGGCGATGCCTTTTTTGTCCTTGTAAGAAATCTCATCAACATTTTCAGGTAAAGTCAATTTTTGACTTGTACAATTGTGTAAAATCATGTTATCAACACTTTTGTTACATATTTTGACGATTGTTTGAACACAATAGGTAATTTATAGATTTTTAAAAATACAAAATGCCTATGCGTTTTTGGGATAGTATATTTACAATGGCCACTGCAGTGTTGACTGTGGCAAGTGAATATTGCCTTACGTGAAAGCAGGATATACTTTAGAGTTTCACTCTTTTACCAAATAGATATAGTCCAGTATTAACCGTATCTTGTCTATTATTAGCGAGGTATCCCAGGTCTGTATTCTGATTTAATTGGATCTAGACTTAGGCAGTTGGCAATAATTCAATGCAGAAGTTGTTTGTCTGGTTATAGCATGTTTGTTTCCTATTTCCAGTTTACACAAAGACACGACCATATGTTAATTTTCAGATTTGTATTGCCGCTCGCCTCCAAGGCACCCCTTCCCCCTACACAGTGTCCTGAAATACCTAAAGTCGGAGAACATCACATGTGACTTCTATATTTACTTGCCATCAACAAATATCCCTACGTCAACTAAACAATCATTCATTCTGTACACAATGTAAAGAAACAAGATCAACAGGAAAGATGGGTTGCGGCCAGTAGTCTCGAACATATTCCAATGATGTTCATTTTCAGCCATTATAGACATTTTCATAAATACAATAAAGGAAACCAAGACAATTTGTCATTGTAATTATTGTTATCATTTACTGTCAACAACATTGAGCTGGCTGACAAACAAAGCATGTTAAGAGACTTGAATCAAAGTCCGATGCCATTGCCAGATATCCAGTCTGGGTCTAGATCCCCTTTGATAACTTACCTATAGTTGTGATAACAGTAACGGAGTAAAGCAGCGCCCCTGCATAAGTCCACTCTGAAGCTTCTTCCGTCTCAGTGCCATCCCAGCCCGTCTCTCTCACAGTCTTGTAAATATTTTGCTGAAAATCCTGGAAAATTTCATCCGCACTTGCCGACCAGTTGGCCTCAAAGAGAATGTTCAGATTTTGAGTGACATCCCATAGCCTCTTTACATAGAATTGTCTCGTAAATCCCACTTCCACTTTATTCTGTATTTCTTGTTCAGCTTCTAACTTCATGAAGATGAACCCTCCCATGATAGAATACCCTATAACCAAGCAGGTCAGACCTACCTGCGAGACCATGAAGACTAGGAACTTTTTCGCGAAGCTGATTAAGTTTTTCTTCATTCTGTCCGATCTCCGTATCTCGAGAACAACTGGGGGAGGCATGTACGTGTTGTTTTCAACACTCCTGATAGACGGTGACGCTTTGGAGACGTCCTCCATTATAGGCCTTCCGGGAGAATCACACATTGTAAAAGTTTTATCAGACTGTTGTGCGAATGGTCTGTATTAAACGTTTATTCCAAGAGACACAGAATTACCAGGTAAGTAGCACCGGAAATGCAACCATTTCAAACCTTTTCATTGGTTCACTGACAGTATCCAAGGCAATGTGTATATTTCTTTCCATCAATCTGATACTCCTCCATCATCATCAGTGCTGCTCATTGATTGTACATGCATCCGACGAATGTCTTCTACAACATTCCTGAAACGTTTGTCTTCATTTAATGCTTCTGTGTGTATGTATCATCTGACTTCACACACACGATAATGCACATACAAGAACACACAGTCACCAAACAATATTCACCGAGTTTCTTCACAACCAGTTCCTACAGTTGCCAATTTCTTTCAGCCACATTAAGTTCCTTTCTTCACAAGACGTTGCCCTGCAAGAACGAAGTTTACATTGAGAGAAATCAATGACATATTTTACACAATAAAGGCTATAACAGTGTAATTATACTCGGGGGATGTAGTGTTCATGATTAAATAATGTTCCCCATCATCAACTTCACAATCTGAAGTTCTGCTGTCATGTCGTTCATGGACTCAATATTCAAACATGCCAAAGGCTGATTTTGAAAAGACGTATTCAATGTTGACGATACGCAATACGGTGATCTAAACGTACATTCCATGGCCACATGTGCTGGTGATCGGCGCCACCTCGAACTGTCCTCCACATATAGGTGACAATCCGTGAAACGGCATTAATCAAACACACATACTCACTCGTTTAATTTACAGTGCACTGATGATAAATCACAGATGGTATATAGACATGACGCTGCGACACTATAACAGATTTTTCCCCCACTATTTTTATTCACATGAGTAGGTACATTCTTAAATTACTACACCAAGGTCATACATTGTACATGTTGAAGAATCATCAGTCCATGCTGTAAGTAGTGGTAGCCTTTTGCTCATACCTTCATTTGGTTGGTTTTTCATTCTGGCAACATATCTTCAAAACGAGAAATATATATTTCAAGGTAGCAATGAAGGATTTAAAAAACAAAGATTCATTTCTAATACAACTATGTCTTTTTCCAGCCAAATGAATATACCAGATTTGATAGGACATTAAAGGCTCACGATTATGTCTCAGTTATGCCTCACGAACACAGTACCGAGTCATGTATTTATTTTTAAAATAATTTTTATTGTTTTAAAAAAAGACATTTTACAGATTTTTCAAAACGTCAACAATGGACATTTCGGTTACAGTCGTATTAACACGATCTACAAATTATAAAAAAATCTATGACATGAAGATCAAAACTTATAAAAGTGTATTTATAGTTTTCTACTAAGAGTCCGATAGTAAAAGAATTCCTGAGGGCCTAGAGGTTTTGTTAAATTTGTAAACTTAAAGGATGTTATAGTGCCTAATTCAGGACAGCCATCCTCCAAATATTGAAAAAGACCAAAAACTATGTGTCCAAGCCATGTGTGCCTTAATTGTAATTATTCAATCTGCAATCTGAATCCTTATCACTACCTCAGTGTATATTGTCTTGTCAGCCACCCTGTACCACTCTGTCACTGTCATTAATTATTGTATATGACAATTATTGCCCTAATTGGTCATCCACCTTGGCCGTGTCTGCCATCATATCAACTGGTCAAGGAAGTGCTATTGTTTTTCTATCTGTCCATTGTTGAATCGTCACCTGTCCATTGTTGTCAAAAACTGTATATATATGCTCGCATCTATATTGTCAAGAGTCTGGTATTCCGACTGTCTGTGCAGGACGTCCGTGAGCAGGATAATGCCGCTCGTAGGAAACACCCTGGGGTTGAGCAGGTACTCCGCTCAACTCATTTATGTCTTGCGCATTTGTTTGTCATGTAACTAAAGAAGTTTGAACTTAACGTTCGTCTTGTCAACGTATTGTACGTACACTTCATCTTAAACATGAGCTAATTCCCCAGTCGACACGTACCTTCGCGTTGGCAAGGACATGGACGTAATAGACCGGCATCACGATGGCCAAATATCAGTTTACTGATATCAATATTTCGTTCCATTGTACTTACGCAACAAAATCGAAGACGAAATGTCTGCCACATCCAAACAATGCAAACAAGTGCAATGTCGTCCCTTCTTCATTCACTTTTGTACGAAAGTAACAAAACTAATTGCTCCTACCCTTTACTGCCACAATACGATGTAGCTCAAAAGCAAACAGGAAGTGTAAACATCGACATGCATGTTTGACATTTCAGGGGTTTAAAATAGGATTAAAGTTCATCCAGTCTGAACCTTTGCACGGGATCTGACTAAATTACGCACTCCCTGGCAGGGATAATTATCTCGTCGAGAACTGACAGTGTGATGATGTCAAGATTGTTATCTCGTCGAGAACCGACAGTGGTGATGTGAAGATCGTTAGTTTTGGTTTCAATGAATGACATGTATTGCAAGCCAGCATTATGTGCAAAGATAGGCCCAGTTCTAACTTTGTTTGTTGGTTGAGCAATATTACAGCTTTATGGCAGCGGTCTGGAAGTAATCGAGTACCAGACAATTCAGTGATCAGCAGCATGAGCATAGATCTACGCATTTGGGATACGATGACATGTGTCAACGGAGCCTGACCATAAGACCAATTCCAATCCTGATCTTCATGGGTCCCCAGTTCTAACAGCAACGTTCACGAATACAGCCCGTAAGAAGGTCATGTCACTTCGCGAGACCTTAGTACTTCCGGTAACAAACAACGTTTCATACCTTTTCGAATGGTCTCATGGCTGTCTGTTGACAGTATGGAACCAATAATCCCTGCAGAAATAACAAATTTCCGATCTTACCATCCCCAGATTAGTCAACTATTACGACTGACAACACCTGTGACAACCAAGCATGGTTGTACACTTGGTTCGGTCTGGTAGAGTCATATTTGGCGGTCGCGCAATTTGGAACAAGAACGCTTGTCACCGAAAGTCTGGTACCGGAAGTAGGCTGGGCCCCGTCTCGCATGTCGCAAGTTGGCGCACGCATAGGAAGCCGTGAACCAGCTAGGTACCGGAAGCAGCGTCTCGAGAGACTTACAAGCCCTATACAGACATTAAATCTGGTCACATTGATTGTGAAACTTTGCAGAGGAGACTGTGGACAAAATCTGTACGCGAATAAAACACACACACACACACACACACACACACACACACACACACACACACACACACACACACACACACACACACACACACACACACACACACACACACACACAAAGTCTGAAGATCCTTGGTACAGATATAATGTTTTCTAACCGGTTTCACTTTGTCAATGTGTTCATCGTGAGAATGACTTTGCGTGTGGCCTATAAACTCGGACACGGACTGCATCGGCTGTTCACATATGCAAATCACGTAAAAAAATCATCGCCCTTGATAAAGACATTTATTTCTTCATTGGAATGTCATGTCCAATCGTAGAAATATTAAAGTATTTATCTTTGCAGTAACTTCAGGAACATTCAGGAAAAAGCATTACCCTTACCGCCATTGCATCCTGCAAGAATCAAAACTTACTTCGTCAAGAATAATCCTGCGACAACTATAAGTCAATTGCATATTTTCTGTCGTAAAACTATAACAGGAAGTGACGTATTGTGCAACTACACCCTGCATACGGCAGCAAATTTTATGGCACGTTTTAAGGCGGCAACAAAATATTTTGCTACGTTATTGTTACCTTGTATCCATATGAATAGAAGTTTCAGATGTTTTGGTTAAAACATGATGATATTACTCTTAATGACATTTCTAAATGATTTTAATATTAAAACTATTTAGATTCGTTCAGACGTTTGACATTGTCATTTGCTTGTACCGTGTGCCATGGTAAGAAAATAGCAATACTGCGATACGATAGTGTTTTCCCTTAGTAAAGATTAACCGGCTTCGTTCTTCTAATGGCTCTCGCGTAAAAGCTATCAAATTTGAAATGATATTTTTTGTCACAAATATGTTTATTAAGAATCATGTTAATCAGATTTCATAATAAAATACGTCTTATAAGTTCACAATTTTATTTCCGATTACGGATATATCAAGTACCCGATACAACGAGGTCGCAGGCTGTAACACGTGTTGAAATACATGTATGGCTGCTCTGATAGCCCATTTATAAGTACCATCTTCAAAATGATGCTATTACTAAATATTAGTGGAACTACATCTTTGCGAAATACTGGTATGCTGTTGTAATATATTGTCCTACGTCAGTTCTTGGTGTCGGACAGGCACCACTTATCATCAAGTGATCCTGCTAAATAGCCGATGGCAGTATGCAAATCCTACCACAAGGAAATCCTCCCTTGGCTGATGTAAATTCAGGATGAAACAACAACGAACATTGATGTGGGTACAGCGGTCTGCCATCAGGGGACATCATCTACGTCAATGTCGGATGCTTCGGGGTCTTGGGCTTCGCTGGTTCCTCAGTGACTCTCAAAACATATTTAACAATTCACGAGGCATTACTTCTGTGTAAAAGTCAAACATAAATAACCAACGCAATTTGACAGTTGCAATAGTTTACTTAGTGAAAAACTGATTTGTAAAACAATGGAAATCCGTGAATAAATCATGTGGAGAACGGACTGAATCATAGCAGGAGCAGTACAAAGGATTTGCTGATTAGATTTCAGCCCTTGTGTTGTGGTGGTGCCATGGCGTTCACACAGAAAACAAGTATCTGTTAACAATGGATATGCATATTTACTTACCGTGTAATTGTAAAGATAACAATCCCGTCGAAATGTACCCAATGCATGTGCGTATGTTTGTGTTATCGCTTGATTAGAATCCAAAATGGTTCCATATAGATTACGTGGGTGTTTGAAAAGTTCTGATCTTTGCTACGAAGAATGCATATTTCTGTATCAATGGTCATGTATCAAAGTGACCTGGTAATTTCTGTTGGTGAATGGAACAGGACAAAATTAGGTATCCCAACGCAACTGAAAGGACTTAATCCAACAGCAACCCGTACAGACGTGGTGCCAACTGTGTGGCCGGCCCTACACGGCCCTAGGCCCATCATAACCGGTCAACTATCAAATTTATAATGAGGTCTCATGTTGACATTGGATTAATCATGATATTCATTTAATTCATTTCCTTGTCGCCTGACACGACCACGCCTCAGAAGAAAGTGCAAAGTGAATCGAGACTAATCTGACAACAAGCTGTAACACAATGACACATTACCAGGGGCGATTACCTCAGTTTAGATGTTGTGTTCAGTTGACATATGCTGGCAATATGGAAATGCACTGCATGTACACGACTCCTAATGGTACTTAAGTAGCATGAGACCGCCTCCGTGGTGTAGTGGTTAGAGCGTCCGCCCGGAGAGCGGAAGGTCGCG